GCAATATAGTCACTCTGGACTTTTCTGTAAGGAGATACCTATGCAGTGAGCCAGGATGCAAATTTACAATGCACTGACTCTGTAAGGAGATACTCCAAGTAAGTGCCATAGCCTTCCTTTTAGCAAAATTATTTGTTACGCTTTGAAGGACACATATGAGTCCACATGTTATAGGACTCCATATACTGTTGTAGTAGTGGTATATATACATTACAGCAATATATTTGAAAGCTTAATACCTTTTTGTAGATGAATTCTTACAGACAGTGACTTTAGAGAATGATCATAGTAGGACGCAATGGATAGCTTAGGTCACCAGAAAGGAAGATTAGTAGTACTATTTCATATTACTTATTTACCATTAGCATTGTCTAGAGCCCTTTTAAGTGGCATTGATAACCAAAGGAGAGTTCTGCTTTTGCTTATACTTCTGGAAGCAGGTCGCAGAAGAGACAGGGGGAAAGAAAATCAAGAATTTAAACCTTCTGTTGTATTCAAAGGTAAATTGTTGGATGCAAGCCAGTAGAAGCCATGCAATTAACACTCTATAAACTGTAAGTAGGAATGGCGTTAGGAACTATAACTTATCAGTCACTGTGCTGTCAACTCTGACTTTTCTGATCTAAACATGGGGTTTACTCCTCTTGCTTGGGAGATTCCCAGCTATAGGAACTGATTCAGCACAAATTCTGCTGAGCTCATGCTCAGAGCAATCATTAGCAATAGCCCTTTGAGGCTACATCATTGTTCTGTCAATGGTGTGAGCTGAGTAGCATAATACATCATAAAAGTCAGATTTAAGATATTGTTAACTATCCAAAGGACTTCTTTCCACTTGCTAGTCAATTCCATGGATGGCCACCCTTCACTTCTGAATCACCTGTTTTTTCTACCAGGGGAGAAATTATGAGCTTTGCTCCTATTACCTCTTCTGCTGCTTCTTCCGCATTTCTTCCATGGGTTTAATATCAATTTGGGGATCAATAAGAAGAGCTCTTTGAGTTTCCATCAGTGCTGAAATGGCTCACACCAAATAGGAGTAACAAAGAAAGTTGTGCTAGCAAAAGCATATTTCAACAAAGCAATATTTGAACAAAGCAGATATACATAGCTTAAGTTCTAACAGTAGCAAATTAAAATTCCACACACCAAATAATACAAACATTGTAGTATTCATCAATGTAGTACCAAGCAAGAAATACTGGGAAGAGAGCATTATAGCCAAAATTCTCAAACTTTGGCATCCAAACGTAAAAATTTAGGGAACAATCCAGGTTTCTAATCATAGGTGTCTAGTGTAATTTTAGACTCCCTCTGATGTTCCACCTAGTCTAGAGTTGCCACAACAGTGTCCTGCTAGCCAGGTTCACGCATGTCAGTCCTGGATATCCTAGGACATCTAGAATAATAGCAGAAAACTATGTTTAGGCACCTGATTTACTCCTCTAATTTCAGATTTGGCCATTTGAACAGAAGGCACTTTTTCAGAGGTGCTGATGCTATCAATGAAATCTCTTTTTTATACTTTACTCTTGCTTCGAAGCTTGATTCAGACTTATTTAACAGGAATCAAAGGCTAATAAAATCATTATAAAAATGAAATAATTTTGTCAGATCACATGAAACATTCTTCTCAACTCATATAACAGCTACAAGGAGTGACACATGCACCATTCTGTTTCATTACTGGTAATATTTACACTGATGCATATTAATGCTGTTATTGTTATGATTTCTGGTTTATTAAAAAAATTGAAATATGCTCATTTCAGGTTAATGCCTAAAGCTTTTCCTTTTCTGTTTTGATACAACAGGAAAACTAAACCATGAGTTACTCACACACTTAGAGTTCCTGGTAACTGAACAAGAATGTAATTTACGGGAGACATTTACCTTACACAGCAGAACAGCATCTGGTAAAGTGCGTGCAACAGGTAATATGTTTTTTGTCACTCTCACAAATGGGAAAGAGACATCCATTATCAAAAGTTTTAATGTGTTATTAATGTTATTAAGCAAATGTGGAACTCAGAAATTGGAAAGAACCCATTAAAAGTGGGAAAGAGCTGTCTAGCGGGTGTCAAGAGTAGCCTAAGAAAAAGGTAAATATGAGAAAGAGAGGGAGACAACCTTAAATGTTAGGAACTGAGCACATAAGAGAGTTAAAGGACCCTGATGGAATTAATTTCCCATACATTTAGACACTTGCAGTGTAAACATCTATATCTGAGCAAGTCACCCAAGGCTGTTTTTATAGTCAAAAGGGAGGAACAGGCACAAATCATCTGAGGTATTTTAGACTTCTATGTTATAAACAGGCACTAGAATTCTCTCTCTATTCATCTCACGTTTAGTCAGATAAATCCCACTCCCCAGAACCTAAGAGCAGCAGGCACTTGAGATAAGACTGGTTCCCTGTTCCTCTGCTGCCAGTACATACAGTGCAGCGCATGTTCATCATCTTGCAACTCAAGACATTTATGTAGGTAGTTTCCAGAAGGAACCAGGGCATTGGCGTACCATATCTTCTGGATTCTTTGTAAACCTCAGCTCTGGTGTCCCCTAACCCTCATATAGGCACCATAGTTCAGACAAATCTTTTCGTACAGACTTAAACTCCAGTATAAATATGTAACATTACCATGTAACTACTCAGGATAGAATTGGTCATAGGTTTCTTTACTGAGAACACTTGATTTCTTCCTTAGGCTGATAACATTTGTTATGCATAATAATTAAGGTTTTTTTTCCCTAAGATCAGGGTTAAGGAACTTTGTCAGTGATAAAAATAGTTTTCTAACTAACTGCTTCATTGAATGGTACTAACTGCACAGTACTTAGTGCCAGGTTCTTGAAACTTGAGTTATGAATAGTCCTGCTGTCAGAGAGATTCCACGATTTCATATTCCACTCTTGTTTGTGTGGGAAAACACTACTTCTGCTTAAGAGAAGTTGTAACAAAAGCCACAATACCTTAATTTTGTTAACATTACATCTGAATAATAGCCGGATAGACTTCTTGCTGACTCTGCCAAAATGCTATGTGGCTCGGGAGGCAGACAATGGTCCTGGGACGTCATGAGCCCAGTTTTATTTCTACATTACACTCAAGAGTCAGCCTTTCTGTTCTTCCGTCAAAGCATTAGAAGCTGCCCAAGGCCACTTGCAGGACAGCTGGAATTAGGATTTCAGAACAATATTTCTTTGAAAAGCCTGTTTCACTTTTCTTCTGTCAACCTATAGCTTGATTCAAGCTTGACATAACAACCATTCATTTAGATGCCTTAAAATTTAACTGATTCTGAATATCCAGTCCAATCTTCTAACGCCTCAGCTACAAACTGCATCTGATCTATCCACTGCTTTTCAGGACTTGAAACAAAATGAGCTTGCCTTTTCACAAGAGCTGAGCACCACTGAGTGCCAGCGTGACCTGGATCTCTTCCCACCATAGAAGTGCACCAAGGCATTTGAGTTCAATGTTCAAGCTGTGAATATTGGCTGGTGTCAATCACCAGCCAGATTATTTGCATAATTGTTTTTTTAGAACAATTCTATCTCTGTAAAATGAATCTAAGCATGCCTTCATTTCAGGGGATTGAAATTGCTACAGTGAAAAGAACACCAGAATGTTATTTCATTTCAGTAAATTGCTACGGTGAAAATAACATCAGAAGATTCTTTGGAGAGATAAACTGGTTTCAGATGTTGCACAGAACATATTGGCATGGTGAAGATAAACTGACACTGTACTTACTTCTCTCACACTGGGACTGTCCATCCAGGGAGGATGACGGGAACCTGGAGAAAAAAAAGTATATGATCGTATCATTAAAAACAGAGAGCAAAATATCCAGAAGCAGCATCCCATTTAAAAACAAAACCAAAACATTTTGTCACTTGCTAGAATCTTACTGGCAGATTAGCTGTAGCATCAGGTTACAGCTACTATCCCAGCTAAACATTCCTTCTGTATTCAACTCAAGTAGCACAGATGCCTGAAGAGAGCCAGCACTAGAACTTTAGCCATTTCAGTGAAAATCTGGTGTTACAGACTAAACCACCAAAGAAGGCGGCTTCCAGATAAGGCAATGTATTTGGCATTGAAGCAGTCATGAATTAATTCATATTCTGTGGGGATATGGAAGATGCACATGATAACTTCTTATCACAGAAAACTTTGCCTGAGCTTTTGTGTCAGCATCTTAACCTCCATAAATAATAAACTTCCATAACTGTTTTCCAAAGGCATTTGGGCACCAAAAGACAACTGATGAGACAGAAAAAAAAATTTAAAAAAAAAGTAATTTGCCTAATTCCCACTGAATTTGGGAAATAATGGTTCTAATCTGTATCCTTGGAAATACGCAATCAGGTAATTTATTAACACTGGGTTTAGTCTATTAAAAGCTGTATATTTTTCCCTGAACCACACTCTGTGCACACTATAGAAATAAATTTGCACAGGCAGCCTTTATTCTGGCATTTCCTAGCTTTTTAATCCTAGTCTTTGCCTTCTTAAGAATATTAATTGACACAGTTTTCACGCATGGCATAAAGAATCTACCAGTGTTAGTAAAACATAAGATTTTACATTAATAATGACAGAATTTTCATTCGTATTTATACTTCACTGAAAAATGTACATGATTTCTACCTTGTTACCCTGAATGATCACCCTATCTGTCAATTTAAATAATTTTCACTCTTTTCTTATTCCTCATAGAGCTTTTATCCCTTCAAATATTTCTTCTGTTTTGATCATTATATACTTCTACAACATACCTCCACAACTTTAACTATTCTGTCTTTTCTAAGAAGATATCTGTTTTCTTATATTTCAATTACTGCTGATCTAGTGCTTCATTTATTCTGGCTTTCTTTATAACTTTTGTTACCTTATTGAGCCCTTGAAAACACCCACAGGGAATATTACCTCAGCATCTTATCAAAAGTGTAAAATTGAGGCTACGGTTCTGATGTGTAATATGCTATTACAGTATCTTCACGAGGGCATCCTGCATACACTAGCTTAATATTTACTGATGTGCTAATGTAATAATGACCTATCTACCTCTACTCCTCTCTGGGGTACTTTCTATCTATAGGGATGGGAATTAATGACAGTCTCTCTGTGCTGCCTGATGTCAGAGCTGAGAAAGGTGTGAAGGGTATATAAGAGCTGTATTACTTGTCGGCAAGGAAGGGGGAAAAGGGATACTCCAGAGCTAGATGCAAGCGTGGAATTGTTGCGTGCACCCTCCTTGCTAACACAGGCGTGCTTCTTCTGTTAGCTCCCTGACCACTAAAAGGTAAACAATTTCCCTTTTTTTTTTTTTACTGAAGATGCAGTGCAACAGATGTGCTTTCAAGAAAGCACAATGTTTCTCATTATTAATCAACAGCATTTTTCAGAAACAGGCTAAGATAACTTCCAGGTAAATTGCACCTGGGACCAGAATTTGAGACTGGGACATGTCAGGAAATGCAAACCGGAGATAAGGGAAAGGATTGAAACTACTAGATGGAAAATGAACATTTACTGTTGAGAGTTACCTGTCTGAAACTGCGTTGTGTCACTAAACTTCATTTGAAGGATCATTTTTTCATTCTAGCCTATGAAAAAGACTAGCTGCTGTTGATTTAGGACAGAATGGGCATCAGTAATAGGATATGCTGAAGAGTACTTGGGTTTGCTTTCAGTTTTGAATCATTATTCTTTTCAGAAAGTTTGGAAGCAAAGATGTGCAACCTAAAGCTGTCAGTTTTCTTCATTGCACTTTCTGTCACTCTGAGCTGTTTGGAAGCTACATCTATTGAGAAGTGAGTAATAAATAATCAGTTATTTCTTTTTTGGGGAAAAAGTGTTCAGATTATTGCCTGAATTGCTTTTGCTTTCATGTCTCAAATAATGTGAGAAAAAAAATATAGAGCTATTCAGTTTCACAGGGTATTTTATTTTTATTTAAAGATTACTATCTGTGGCTGATGATCTATCTGATGGTACTTCCAAGAGACAAGGATGGATATTGCCAGCAATGTCACGGAATACACTCTCAGGACTTAGTGAGGAAATGCCAGAACAACCAGCAGCAAAGACAAAAAGGTATTGATTTTCCTTGTTTCTTCTAGTCATATCAGTTAGGATTAAATTATGAAGTAAACTTCGTGCCAGTGATATTCTGTTACTTGAGACTCTGTGTCTGTTGTTTATTCTCAAAAAGAGCTTAAAATACCCTTTGTCTTGTAAATAGAGCCATTCTGTAAGCATAAAGATCAAAGCATTCAGGGTAGAAAGTGAAATCCAGAGACAGAAGCTGCAGATCATTTAACCACTTTACAATTATAATGCTTTCATAAATGAAATAGGCTACAAATATTACATTACCTTGAGAAGAAAGGTGTATTTTGAAAAGGCATTCTTATTTAAATTTGTCACATTTCCAAGCCTGAAGGGAAAAAAAAAGAAAATGTACCCTTCTTAATAACACTAATGCTCTGCTAGAATGGAATTATTTTATAATATAACTATTTCCTGTAAGTAAGTAATATTTCATTACAGAGTTAAATATCAATTTAATCATGGGAAGAAGGAAAAGAAGCAATTGGCTCTGACAGAATTTAACTAGCCTGAAATGCATTCATGTTTATAAATCCATAAATCCAATTTCAGGTAACTTTTTTATGAATAAAATAGCATTTCAAAAAGTATTTGCAATTTGTACTAAAAGATAAAAAGCGCTAAACTATTCTAACTGCTCATCAGGCTTTTGAATGAGTTTCTTTCAATGACAATTCTCTTATGGATAGATTCAGTAAATACATGTGTCTGTATAGTTGCCTGTTCCTTTCTGAATTTATTCAGAAAAATGTCATTATTACATGACAATTGTTATCTTCCAGAATATTTTGATAATGGAGACTAAGTTCCCACATTTTTACAGCTGTTACTTTAAAAAAAAAAAAAAATGTAATACTCAAACACAAGGCATCACCTTTATAAGTGTGGTGTGCCTTATCGGCTTTTCTGGGGCTTTGGTTTACAATCTCTTACTAGGTGAACTGTCTCACTGAAGCACATATTCAATTAAAGGTTACAGATCAGAGAGCTAACAGGTATAATGGGTTCAGTCAGGCTAGACATCAGCTAGAAATCTAGTAGCTTCCTGGAAGGACTGGAGTTTTAAACCTGAAGTGCCAGGGTCTGATTTTGTACCTTTAATGAAAAAGAATTCTGCCTCCACAAACAAATTAGGATTTCCTTGAGAATCAGTTGCTATTTGAACCTCATATGTTAAGGGCTTGATTAAATTCTTTTAAAATCAATATAAATACCCATTGAAACCTAAGAGAAGCTATATCAAGACCTATTTGACCATTTCCTTTAAATACAATTACATATTTACAATATTAATTGCTTAGAAATTGCTGCCTATTGGCCGATGAAGAGCCAGTATAATACAGACACTTCTCTCACAATTGCTATTCCATGTGGATTCTTAGACTAATACAAGTAACTCTAAAAGAATAGATGACATTTCAGATAACAGATTTAGTCAATCAATAGGAAAATGTACTCATTGATAATTGCTCAGAGTTTGAAACCAGGAAATTGTCACTCTTCACAGTAAATTTTTGCTGCAAACTGTTGTCTACCTCATGCCACATCAACATGAAGCAGCCCGAGAAAATTAACAATAACTCAATAAGCAATCTCAGCAAGCAAGTATTTCTGTCTGGAGGAACAACATAGTGGTCTAAGAAACAAGTTTGAAAACCCAAGCTCTCTCAAGATAACCGTTGTATTGTGATTAAAAAAAATAAATTATTGTCATGCTACTTAAGTTCTACACAGAGTTCTGTGAATGGTCTGTTGGTTCAGAGCATAAAATGTTCTTTTTAGACATGGATTCTTCCATGGACACTCTTTAAAGTCTCATCCAGAAACTTATTATCTACCACAACAGCACTTTCAAGTTGCTGGTGTTTCAACAAAGATGTGGCAGCTTTTCAGTAGTGAAGAAATCTCTGTTTAGACAGAGCTAAATCTTAAGTGGTACTGAAGTCAGCAGAAGTTGGCAGCGCCTGCCACTTCTCATGATACATGGTGCAGCTGGGAGAAAGAGTCTTTGGGGGCAATCCACTTGATGTGGACTGGAAGATTACTGTTCGCTTCAGTGAGAGCAGGATACAATTCTGTGGGAAGAAGAGAACTAAATAAATGTTAGCGATTGTCATTACGTTAGTAATCCTCATGATATCAGCAAGAGCTCTGAATAGATTTAGAAGTTCAGCTTAAAGCTAAACATTTAGTCATTGTTTTCACTTACTGTCTTAACTATACTATCATTACAGGTTTTCTAGATGTCATAAACTGCTATGCAGAATATCAATAAAAATGACACATGACTGTTAAGGTCTTTGCATTTAAATAACCCTCATCATTAAAACTGATAATAGCATACAGCGCAAGATTTTTTTTCAGGCACAAAGTAGGTGGTAGGAAGATTGTAATGTTCCTGTATTTGTGCACATATTAAAAGAACTCCCACATTAGCACAGCTCAAATGCCTATTAGAAGTGGCACACTTGACTGCTCATCACTTGATGTAATCTTGGCTCTTTTTGTTTTACCTTAGTAGTCACCACCTAGAGAAACGGAAATGCAACACCGCTACATGTGTGACGCAACGCTTGGCTGACTTTTTAGTTCGTTCCAGCAACAACATCGGAGCAATTTATTCACCTACGAATGTGGGGTCCAATACATACGGGAAGAGGGACACAGCTGGGCTTTTAAGCAGAGAACCCCAAAACAATGCACAGCTTTAGGGTGTTAAAATGACTACTGATACAGTTTTCATTAGGAGCTCAGTCTTTAATGTATCAATAATCTTTTGGTCATTTGTTATTTTACAGTCTTAACAGTGCCTTGTTTTCTGTGTGCGCGTGTGTGTCAGTATGTGATTTATGTTCATTATTTCACTATGCATGTACAATGACATGCATAGGCTATTGTTTCAACTCCATTAAGAACTCCAGAAATCTGCTTGTCAAATTCCTTTGTAAAAAATAAATATATATCTCACAATAATAAATGGAAAAGTAATTGCAACAGGGTTATTATTATAATTGCAACAGGGTTAACAGGGTTATTATTATTATTATTATTATTATTATTATTAAAATTATTAAAAAGATAACCATGATGTGTATGTCTTTATAGTCACAGTTTGGTAAGAGAAAGAAATCATCTTAATTAAGACCAACAAAAATCAGAATGCTAACAGAAGTTAAGTCCTAATGAGAGTAAAACAGAAGAATCTTTGAAACATCTACAGTGTCTTCTTTTGCACAACTGAAGGAACAACTAGATGAGACAAGATGGCTGCATTGTGCACATGATTATACCAGTTAACTGACTGGTCTCTTTCCACCTTAACATGCATTAAGCAGGTAGAAGTGGTCTTGCAGCACAGATTTCCGTATGTATGGAGCACGCAATTTTAAGAATTTACAGTTCTTACTTTAAGATGGTATCAGTAAAACGTAAGCATAATGAGCATAACTGCTTTTAAATATGAATAAAAGAAAATTCAGTTAACAAGCTAGCAGAAACACCTGTCCTTGGGTATTCCTTTCCTTGAACTAGAGTAACAAAGGGAAGAGGCAAAACCAATGAGCAGTTCAGGCATCAAAACACCATAGAAACAGGGTAAGTTTGCCTGCTGGCATACTTATATTGCTACCAAAATCCAAGAAAACTAGTTTAGAGATGGGCGGACCTTAATGGAAATTTGACAGTGTTATTTTCTCCTACCTCAGCCCAGTATCAGTGCAGGCTTAATAAACGTGCTTGTTCCTTTAAATTGTTAAGCAAACTTTCATAGAAGTGACATCCTATGTCACAGCAATGGTTGTTTTGTCCATCATTTTCTCAGTGAAGTGTTCTCTATCATCTGAAAAACATGACTGTCCAATTATGAAAAACATTCAGCAGAAGCTTAGTGTTGGAGAAGCACATGAAATCTTAATAATTGCCTTTGGTTGATTTGTTTCTGTTACAAAGAATGCCTCAAAATAGAAACATTTTTGCTAAATTTAATGTTAAGTGGCACATTCCTTTCATTTCACAAATAATACATGGGAATAAAAATTACTGCACAGAATTTTTGCTGTAAAAGTGTTACTGATTACTCTGTTGAGAAAAGTTTCAGTCTTCATTGATGTTCTAATGGATATTTATTCTGAAAGTTATTGACAAAACCATTCAGCTGGTATTAAACTTGTCTAATATTTCTGCCAGTGTGAAATGGTTTCCATTCAAGTTACTTCTGAGATATATTATACACTCATTGTGGGCTTAATTTGTTTTTCAGCTAGAATATTTACTTTTCAGAAAAGAAACAAGAATTTAGGATGACAGGAGAGCTCTGAAGTGTCACTGTGGTGGTGTTTGTAGAGGAGTAACCAAGTGAAGTCTTCACTGTGGGTGGATGCTGATTTCTAGGCTGATCCCAACCTGAAATACGTACAATGATTTACGCATCAGCTTTTGCTCTTTAAGCTACCATTTGACAATCAAAACCAAGCACAGACTGTCTATGCCCGGGTTCAGTGGAACTGTGTACGTTATCTTCTGCCGTATGTACTCCTGAACCTGATGGATTTGATACTAACATCTGTTTAATATGTTTGCCCCATTTGGCAAATACTGAAAAATGTTACTCACCTCCCAAATCAGCAAAACAACAGAGGGGGATAAGAGATACATCAATAACTCAGAGGGAACCATCTCACCTATCTTTAGCTGCTTTTTGTCTAACCAGTTGTCAGTGCTCACCTGCTATTTGGTGGAGAAAGATAGCTACTTCCAACTCATCCCAGCTTAGATATCTGTTTTAGGATGGGATGAATCACATTCTTGAAGTGCCTCTATTTCTTCATTGACGATAGAGAGTGTCTAGACAATTAACTGAAAATGGGCATTAACTTTAAGATAATTAGAGTTAGGTGACACAAATCCCACCTGCAGTTGGTATGAACTGTTCAACCTAAAAGAAAAGGTTCGGTATTAAAAAAAAAACCAAACCAAACCCCAGCCCACACCTCAGGCTCCAAATCATCAGAGTGATCAACTCTCATATTCTGAACTACATTAGTTAATTCATCAGTTGGAGCATCTTGCTTACACTCTTATCTCTGCTTACACTGAGACGTGTTTCCCTGTATATACCTTTGAGAACACAAATCTGCTACCCTTCCTCCTGCTGTGTAGTTACCACTGACTGCAGTTAGATCTCTTAGAGAAGAAGGATCTAGTCATAGTAAGCCTGAATACAAGCACAATCCTAAGAGAACGAGCCAGGAAAAGAGTGGATTTAAAATTAAAATTAAAAAAAGAAGCATTAGAACATTAATTCATCAGAACCAAACAGCAGAACTTCAGACATTTCAGAATATGAAGACTGCTAGGTGAAGCCTAGTTAAATAACTAAAATTAAGTGCCTCTATGCATTTTTAAAAGTCCCATTATGTATCTATCTGCATCTTTAGGGACGTAAATATTTTTTGAGAATCAGGTCTTACATAGCTTTAGTTCTTTTCCAACTCATCTGGATGCCCTACATCTTTCAGAGAACATTCAAGAAAACAAAAAATACAAAAGAGGAAAATCAAGAATGTAGACAATGTGATAAACACAGCTATATTCCCTTTAAAAATAAAAATACTACATCTCCGCTTTTTAGTGTCTTCTATTAAGTTGTCTTTAAAAAGAACAGGATAGGCACATAATATTGAATTTCACTAAATGAGAGGGGGAAGAATAAAAGTCATCAAACAAGCAAAAGGAATGTTAAAAAAGAAAAAGATGACATGAACATGAAAAATGTTTTAAATGGAGAGTGGGCCCTAGGGTCTAATATTTCTCAGGAACTATGACAGCTTCATAGAAGACAGAATTTATATTTTTTCATGATGAATAGCATTGAGGTAAGAAATTGATTTCACTTTCAAAAGCTTGGCCTAAAACTAAGAAAGCACACAATATTCATGCAACATAAAATGTACTTTTATGGAATAGTAAATTTTAAATGAATAATTTCAATTTCTAGTAAGAAAATATAAATATTTTTCAAATAAATAAGATTCTTGTTGAGAGCTTTAAACACTAGGTTGGCAAAGCTTCCATTTACTTTCAACAGGATAATACCATTAGCAAGTCTGGATCTTACTGAATGGCTTTCTAAAACTGTTTGAAATTTAATACATTGATACTATGAATAAAATCCATGTCCTGTGCTGCACTATTGCGTATCTTCAGTAGCTGCCATCTTCGCTTTCTAGAATTATGCTGGGTTTGAGTCAATTAGCTCACAAATATAGTTTGACAGGTATGGTAGACTCTTTGTTCAGAGTTACAAGGTTAAGTAATTTTTTTGTCTAGCTTCATTATCATATAGAAAAGGGATTGCTCTACACTGCTTTTGCAATGCAACCAGCGAAAAGCTGTGGTTAGGTATGGCACATCTCCTTGTTGTATATAGAATATAAAAATAATGGTTGAAGTAACATGAAATAGAATCTGTTTCAATCATCTTACTGTTATCTCTATTTTTTCACACTCAAAAAAAAAATCCTATACTGAAAAATAAAATATTTTTGTGAAGCTGTGTAAGCTTCAATAACCAGACTCAAACTCAGACCTGAAATCCACAATTTAAACTAAGCTTCAATTTAGGAACAAAGCCCCCCAAAATCTGGATTCTCTACAGACCAATTTTTCTGAAAATTTTAGACAAATTGGTTTCCAGCTTGAATTGCTGGAATTGAATACTATATATCCTTAATTAGATCCAGTTAAGATCCAGTTAAGAAGTATTTCTCTAACTAAAACCTATCTTCATATCAGAATGTTAAAAAAATTCTTAACTAGGAATCATATATGCCATCAAAAGTTGAAAGTCATGACATCAGAAGCTCGCTAAAGAATGAGACAATAGTCATAAGACAATAGGTAAAACTGCCGCTCATTTGGCAACAAATTTTCTCCTTGAATGCTAAAACATCTGAACAAAAAGAACACATTCATATGCATTTTAATCCTAACAATAGGGCTGACTTGAGTAACAATCATGCCACAAAGTCACTATTTCCTATAAATGCTTTTATAAATACAAAATCTGTTTAATTATTCAGATGAAGAATCTTAGAGCCGCCCCTACTTTAACAACATTTTTCCTCTACGTTAAAAGACTCTTTTTGATCCAGCATTAGAGACAGTGAAACTGTTTCTTATATGCTATTTTATAATATCCTTAATATAAATGATTACTGCACAGGTAGCTTGAGATCTGCTGTGGAACAACTGGTAACACCAACGGTGATAGAAACTGATTGAATTTAATTTCTTTAGTCCCAAATTTTGATTAGTGCATCATCTATGTGGTGGATTGCTTTTTTCTGTTTTTCAAAAGGAATTCAAATACTGGGATGTATTAAAATAATCAGAGTTGTATTAAGTATGTAAGTATTAAATAATTCACATGTGTGAATTGAAATAGTTGGAATCATTTTGGAATGAAATGCTACTCAATATGATTAAAATATGATTAAAACCAGAACCTGTTTATTATTTACACTGTCAACAGAAACAGATCACTTTATTCAAACAGAATCAGTCCTTATTCATTAAGCAGTCCCTTTGGAAGGGGTCAAAGGGGGACTTGCCTCCGCTAAGGGAAATGTGTAAAAATTTAAGCAGCCTGTCATTGTCAGTCCAGCACTGAAGAAGCTGAGGTACTTAACTGTCAGAATATGGGTCATTTTTA